GCGTGTGTGCGTGTGTGCGTGTGTGGGTGTGTGGGTGTATGTGTGTGTGCGTGTGTAAATAAACTGGTTAGACAGGTGCTGCATTGCGGCGGCAGGTGTGTAAGTAGGTAGGTCTGTTGGTAGATATACAGGCAGGCAGGCAGCCAGGCAGGCATACCAAATCTGATCATGTATGGATGCGTGCTGTGTGTGTGTGTGTGTGCATGTGTCGGTCCGTATGTATGTATGTATGTATGCATGCATGCATGCATGTATGCATGTATGTATGTATGTATGTATGTATGTATGTATGTATGTATGTGTGGACATCGGTTTGTGTCAGTGTATGTAAGCTTCCATGCATGTGGTTATGTTGGTATGTACCTACATAACTATATACGTATACATAGTATACAGGACGCATGGGCAGATAAACTGGTGTCTTCGGAGATACTGTTGATGATGTAAACCCTGCATTACCTTAAGGACCTTAAACTCTGGGAATTATGGCATATTTTTTGTTATGGGAAATGCAGGATTTAAATCATATCATCAACCGAATCAACACTGGTAGACTTCCACTGTTACCCTTCGCGGCTTCAACATGCAAAATCTCGCAGACTCCACAGCCGAAACTGTCTGCTTTGCTTTATCATCTGTTGCAGGTCGAGCTAGGCAGTACGGGCAGGAGTCGACCCCCTTGTGAAAAACTCGTCGAAAGTGTGTGATCCAACCCGGCAAATGCTATGATCCCTGAATCGCAATAATCCCTGAATCGAAACCCTTCCCGAACCCGAAGCTCTCAACTAAATCGAAACCCTTCCTGAACCCTAAGCCCTCAACTATCTCGCAGCTGCAGGTGGCAACTGTTCTCGCACTGCTCGGGAGCTGGGCGCACCTTCACAACTTGAGGCAGCTGCTGCCTATGTCACCAACAGCTCCCTTAACGCCAAACCATGTTAAAACTTGGACCCTAAACTCCCTACCCAGAAGCTCCAATGTAGTTCCTTTTTGGGTCTGTTATGGTTTTTGGGTAAGGAATTACAGTATACTATCAAAAAAGGAACTACATATGAGCTCTTGGGTAGGCTCTAGAACATCCTAAACCCTACGCCCGAAACCCCACTCCACAGTTCTGAACGTACCCTGCAATGCGGGCTTGTCCTTGCTAAGTAGGCGGGACAAAAACCCTAAGCCCAGAAGCAACTCCCATCGAGCTGGGGCACACTCGAGAATTAAGAACTTAGGGTTTAGGGTTTAGGGTTCGCTGGCACACAATCCAAGCCCGCTGAAAAGGGTTTAAAGAACTTAGGGTTCAGGGCAGTTTCTTGCGAGCCAGACAACCTGAACCCCGTGGCCTCCACAACGGTCATTAGGATGGGACTTCTGACACTAGTTGAGGCGGTGCTTGCAGGTTCGTGCGTGACCTTAGAAGTAATCGGTAAGCACGAGACTGGTGAAGAGTGAGCTTTCGCAAAGCTCAGTAGGAGATGCCAAGATCCCGGAACCCTCGTATCTTGGAGTGCCGAGAGAGCAGTATTTCGACTGTGGGCTCTACTGCTACCGCCTGCTTTTATTGATAAAGAATGTTGACACGAGGAAAGGCTTGTTGACGCCGATGCAGTCAACCACACCAGTCTATACAAAGGTCGCAATCACGCTCCAAGTCTTACTTTGCAACAAGTTTCCAGTGAAGGTTTTTCGTAAGAGTCTGTTCTTCGGCTGTGGCCCACACCTTGACAGCCTCTGAACTTTACAAAGCCAAACCAGAGTCACCAGGGGTGATGGCCACGTGCTGACGGACATGCGAGATCTATTTCGCAGCCCACTGACCGCATCAGCCAGTGAAGTTTAGGTTGGAGGATTTCGGGCCGTGCAGTACCAGGGGAGGTCCTGGGATGCTCGTATGACAGCGTAACAGACAGCATAACAGGATCAAGCGGCGAGATAATGCTGTGTATGGGTAGTTGCTAGGAGGTTCGGCTTTCTGGCGTAAGTTTGGGCCATGTAGTCTGAATCGCAAGTCACAGCTGCTTTTGTCTCAGGTATCATTGTCTGCCGGGGCCCTGGCGACCGAAGTATTCTGCATTAACACTGATAGGCAGCCATTGAAACAGTTTATATTTTCCGCATTGGGATTAAGAGGATCTTATTTACGAAGATTGTTCACGGGCTTTGAGGTGCCAACCTAGTATGATAAGGACACATAGTCCGAGTCAAGCAAGCAGAGAGGGCCGCACTGATCAGAATGCCAATTCAAACGCCGCACGTTTTTGCAAGAGGATGGAGCTCGACCCACACTGTCTAGGACACGCTGTCTAGTCTGCCTTAGTCCCTTAAGGTCCCTTATAGTAGTCCCTATAACCCATTCCCCCAGTCCCTACTAAGCGACAGTAGTACACGCATGCTCTAGGAATCGGAATCCGAGGGTTTCGGATGTCAAGTTAACCCTAAACCCTAAACCCTAAACCCTAAACCCTAAACCCTAAACCCTAAACCCTAACTAATAAAAGCAGAAGTTTTAAGCTCCCGTCCCTCAGCCATCTTTAGCCCTCTCTGAAAGCCCCAAAGAAGGCCGGAGGCTTCCGGAAGACCCACGTGGGCTTCTGTGAAGCTGCAGTATGCTGCAGTGCTCTCTATGCCTCTCTCTTGCGCGTCGTAAAAGTTGCTGCTGCTGACCAGTACACTTAGTACGTCCTTGTTCAACGTTCTTGCCCGTTCGTGTTCTGCTTCAACTTCTGCTGCTGCTGTTGAAGCGGGGCAGATGGCGATCACGACACCCGAGACGGCAGCAAAGAGCCACGATTACAACCGCCACTATTGCATTCACTATGGCTACTTCCCCTAAGTAACCGCCCTATACCCTACATCCGTATATAGTCTTAGAGTCCTTTGGTGCGAGGCCTCGATACTGGCTTCGCTGCTTTGGGCTACCAGGCCGGGATCGCGCAACATCGTCGGCTGAGACTTGCGGAAATCGGAGTTTGGGTTCGGAAATCGGAGTTTCGGTTCGTAGGGTTTGAGAAGTTCAGGGTTTAGGGGTTTAGGGGCACAGGGTTTAGGGGTTTAGGGTTTAGGGGTTTAGGGGTTTAGGGGTTCAGGGTTTAGGGTTTAGGGTTTTGTTCGGGTCCAGGGTTAAGCGTAGACTTTTGGACCTGCAAAGTCGTTGAGCTTACGGGTGATGGGTTGTGAGTTGTGTCGTGAGTAGGCTGGCTTACGACATGAAGTCATTGACTCATCAGGCTCCGGAAACTTATTTACCATATAGCCTCAGGCGCTTTGGAACCTTGGCGCTTTCATTTTCTGGTTCGGGTGATATCTCATAGGAGCCCCATGAAGTCCCAAGTATATGCCGAAAAGGGCGCATGGAGCCTCAGGGTTGTAGGATGGGCCTACTTCTATACCAGAATTCTTGGAATTTTCCGGCTGAGATAAATTTGTGCAGAGGCTGTTGTCGGACAGAGTTTCGGGTCCCTGGACCCGGAATCCTAAGAAAGGTGCTTGGGCTTACACACGGTCCGGAGCCAGCAAATCGACTATGATTCTCCGAGGTGTCAAGTTCAATCGCTTTGGTGCATCCTGGGTTTTGGCCGTCGGGTTTACAACAGAGAACCGGGTAAGCAAAGCAAGAAAGCCAATCGAGGTAAGGGTTAGGTGAGGACAGAAACCAGAAACTCACCAGTCCAGGCAAATGCATGTTACATCCCTTAACCTTGACTCACGGTTGAAATCTTGCAATATCTAGATGCTATATGCCGTCAATCTCACAACTTAGTGCACTGAAATATGTTTTCCCACCAGCCAAACCCTAAACCCTAAACCCTAAACCCTTAACCCTAAATAAATCCTAAACCCTAACCCTAAACAGCCTGTCCACGTTCTCAGGGCAGCAGCGCGGTGCGGCATCGCTTAGGCTTAGAGAGTTCGTGGCGGCTGGCAGAGGCATGGCCGCTCCTGGCGCTCAGGGTCTGCGTTTGACAGGTTGGGTTTAGGGTTTAGGGGTTTAGGGTTTAGGATTCAGGATGTTACTGTTCCAGACTTTTTTGGGGATCGGGGTTTGCGGGTGTAAGGTTTCAGGGATGTGGGATATTATGTCCAGTCAGGCTCGCCAAGCAACACAGAAGGGTTCAGAAAAGGCGACAGACTCTCACCAGGCCCTGAGCTCCGGATTTGAGGTTTAAGGTTTCGACAGAAACGGTAGCCAAGGTAAGGTTGTTGCTTGCTGCATGCTTGAAGTTGGTGTCGTGTCAGCAGAGATGTTCAGCATCTTCTGTTTCGAGCGCATTTGCCGACCGCTGGGGAACTCGACGTCTCCTTTCTCTCACACGCACGCACACACACTTCGCACGCGGACACCGCTTAGACTCGGAGATGGAAGAGAAGGTGAGCGTAGGAAAGGGATCTCACTGGAGGCGTTCTAATTCGCAGCCTTTTCTGACATGTTACTGACCTCGAAACCCAAGTGCCGGAAATCCTCAAGACAAGCAACAAGTAGGAGCTGCACAAATCCGATTACACTTCCGGTGTAAGAGAGATCTTCCTCTAATTACCCTCCGTGAATGCATTGTGCCGCCCACGCCATGAAAGCACAGGTCTGTTTCTATATCCCAATGTCAAGTTTCCAGCCGACTCAGCACCAGAGGTGCTCGGCAAACTCCGAAGTGTTAAACTCTAAACCCTAGATCCTAAACCCCTAAACCCCTAAACCCGTAAACCCTAAACCAATGTGCTATCGTCGTCGTACTTGGAACCTCGCCAGGCTTGTCCCAGTTGTGAGTGCTGAAACCCTAAACCACAGTTTCAGACATAGATTTGCTGCCACCGGCAGGAGTGTCCAGCAGAGGCGGCGAGGCACGTAATGTAGGGGCCTGAATCTTTACCTATACTATTTTTTTGGGGCGGCTCCTTACTATGATTATAGTATAATGGGGCCCAAAACCCCATTGGAACTATTAAGGCTCCTGTAGCATCCAGGGGCGTGTTTGGTTGTGTCTTCTCTCGGGGGTTTGGGAGGGGGGTGGGGGTGTTTATTTTCCAGGCCCATTGGGACCTAACTAACACCCCAAGCCAAGGACTTGGCTTAAACAACCCGCATCATCAGCACTAGCTGTGGAGGAGTTGCGTAATGTTGTCTATGGGTTTTGAAAGGCTTATATCGTGTTCTATTTTGTTTGAGTGGCTAAGAGTAGAGAGTTTCGGGCAATAAACTTGGCCGGCTTCTGGTTGGCTTTAGCACTGGGGCTGTGTTGGTCCGTATGTTTCGTTACTCATGATAGAACTATAGGTTGACTGAGGTGCCCCATCTGCTCATGAGTTCGCTTCGGCTTGATGCCCTCCAGGCTTCATAGGTGAACATCTTGCCTTTCCAAAAACTTCTTGTGAGGGGCTAGTAGGGGGAAGTTGCAGAGGTGTCACGAGGTTGCATGCGGTCTTTCGGGGCTTGTGAGCTGGATTTGTTTGCCGTTGAAGCCGGGACATCTGCCCGGGACTGTACTCAGCCTAAACCCTAACCCCTAAACCCCTCGAACTCTCAAAGTTGGCCATGCTGGGTAGGTGCCAGTGGTGACGTCAAGCAGAGGATAAGTGCTTACATGTGGCTCCAGTTGGAGATATTGAGAAGTCTACATATCTCGCACCACTGAGCCCAGTCGCAGGGCCAAATAAATATGACACTCGCATGCCCTCAGAATTGCACGGCAGTTATGATGCATCATCGAACATAGATAGCGCTGCTGAGGATAACGTTGAGTATGACCGTTTCTCAAGATGCCCATTTCAGGTCTGCAGCAATGCCCAGGGGAATGTGGTGGTATGCACAGGCTGTCTACCAGCTCGAACCGACAGCACCGTAGACCTTGACATGTATTCCGAAACTCCAACTTGGGGGTTTCCGAAAATAGGGGACCCTAATATTAGGGTTTAGGGTTTAGGGCCCTAAATAGTAGGATCCTCATTATAAGGACACCAAAATAGGGTACCCATTATTTTCCGAAGCTCCAACTTCGAAAACCCAGAGCTCGCCTCTCAACCCAGAGATTGCACCGTCTAGGGATCACTGGTGGCTGCCTGATGCATGGCCGAAGAGAAGGTTGGTCAGCATTTAGATATACTAGAAGCTTACCCTAAGGGTCCATGTACCCAACTAGTATATACTTTGGCCCCATAGTACCTATATAGGGACTACATTGAGGCCAAAGTATATACTGTTTGGGTACATGGACCTTTAGGGTTAGCCTTATTATTACTACTACTTGGGGCTCCTCAAAACAATCATAGCTCTACCCCGACACCAAATTAAGCACCTATGTGAAGGTTCCGGGTTCACGCTTCAGCAGCTGGGACCATTGGCTTCATCTCAAGGGTTCGTGGCTGTTCCGTAGTCATGTCTGAGGGACTGGTTCTGCATAACACAGGGCCCTGAATAATTACTATAATACTATCCTGGGGCTCCTCATGAAAATCATACGAAAGCATACCCCAAGACTCTACTGTAATTATTAAGGCCCCTGCGTTGTCGCAATCTTGCGTGCCGAGAGGGCTCGGGAGCTTAAGGCTTGCGTTGGTAATGGCTTTTGACGGTTAAGGTTTAGGGTTCAGGGTCTATAATTTAGGGAACGGGTCCTTCCATCCGTCGCCGGGGGGCAAGGATACAGACTTTTGGGTTTAAGGTATAGCTAGGGCCACGCGAGAGAGGAAGACACCATGCAGCAGTGCTCAGGGTTGCGAGGACAGTTTGTAACAACTGGGTCTAGGTTGATTTTAGATTGGGAGCTGAATCTTCAGCCCTAACCCCAAGGGTCCAAAGGACCCAAGAATCAGGTACTTAGGTTTCGGATAGTAGTTATGTAGGTTACTATTTGGGAGAGTATATGATTATTAGGTACTTGGACCCGTAGGGTAAACCGTAAAGACACAAACAACTTTCCTACAGTGTAAGGCAGTTCATCGACAGGGTGACTGCTGGGAGTCCTGGAGATTTCGTAGACAAGGACGACCAGCTACAAGTGCGGGACTGTATAAACCTAAACTCTAAACCCTAAATCGTGCCAGTCAGTAGTCTAGTAACAGCCATAGCCAAAAAGAGAGGCAACTATATACAGCAACTACACGAAGAGCAGCTGCTGCAACATTTGCGAGCCAATGTGCAAATACCCAACAGCCCCCAGGATCTGTCTTTGGCCCGCCGAGCATCCTATGCATGAAATATCCAGAGCAACAGTGATCGCTTGCATCGCGCATTCGTTGAGGCCGGCAGAACAGAGAGAATCCGAGGCTGCCCGGGGTGGCTGGGATTGTGCATCAGCGACATCTTTCACCCGACTGAACATCATCGTTATCCTCTTCTGCATCAGTGGCCGCAGCACTGATACTCGTGGTCATCGCCATCTTCTTTGTCACCAGCTTGTTGTCTGATACTGCTACTTGCCTCACGGTCAATGCATGTCATTCTCGTCTCCATAGTCGCTGTCATCACACCCACCAGCATCGTTGCCGTCACAAGGTTCATTGCTGTCACCATGACCAGCAACAGAACAACACAGCAGTCACCGCCGTGTTTGCCACGGCGGTGAGCGTGAGGAGAATCCTTTTAGCTCATCATTGGGCTGAATATGATCAACCGCAGCAGCACGTTGTCTTTCCACCGCCAATTTCAAACTGACGTGATTGTTGATAGCTGTACTATATACGCATGCCCCTAGCAAGGTATTGGTGGCGCAGCGACTCCTTTAAAAGCGGCATGACTGCTGTAAATCTACTTCATGGCTGCGTACACTCTTCAGTGGTTACATGAGTATGGTGTAAAAGTTTTACAGTCTGGGCATGAGTGCTACTGCTGGCAATGCAACAGCTACGGCTTGTACACTACTTTCACCTACTGCTCCTCCTCTTCCTCCTCCTGCTGCTACTGGCACTGCTACGGCTACTCCTACTGCTGCTGTTGCTTCTTCTACCTCTACTACTACTGGTATTAATACTGCTACTTCTGCCGCTGGAAACAAGTGCTCTCCAGGCCAAATTCAGAAATCTCTGGAACGCTCAAGACCCGAAAAGCAGAACGAGGAGGGGTGGCGAGAGAATCCCCGAACATGTCTGGTTGAAACGATGCACGATGTGGGGCTCTTGGCCCGGAGCAACAGAGTTCGCAAACCTACAACCCCTGAGTCCAAAAAAGCCTGGATTTGCCCTGTCAGGGAGGTTTGCCCCACCCGAGACCGAACTTCTCTGGGCCATCGCTGAGCGCAGCTCCGGGCTAGGGCTCTAGAGCATTTGGGAAAGTCAAGTTTGCTGCCAATACCGAGACGCTACTACGTGGATCTCATCCGTGCTGTTCGGTAGGGCTCGGTTTCCTTGTTTAGGGTTTAGGGGTTTAGGGGTTTAGGGTTTAGGGTTTAGGGTTTAGGGTTTAGGGTTTAGGGTTTAGGGGTCTTGGGCTGCTAATCATCAACAGCGGTTCACGAAGCGAGACGGGCTTGTTGATGCCATTTCGTAGTACGCAGCAGGATTTCGACTTGCAGACGGACTGCAGTAGGAGTTTGTGCTTGTTCGTTCAGACAGGCTAGGTAGACATATATATATATATATAGATAGATCGATCGATAGACAGATAGATAGATAGTAGGTGCAAGCGCGGTTGTCAGTCGACGTTGACCTAAGCTTGATTTGCATGTTCCTTTATGGCTGGCGACAGCCAGAATAATTGATTCGGACACTTTGAGCTACACGCATGGCTCACCTCCACCGGATCAGCTTGCACGAGGGAAACACGCGGGTTTAGGGTTTAGGGTGCTATTCAGTTCTTTACCGGCCGTCATTCCTGCCGAGCGTTGCTTAAAATCGCAAAAAAAGTTTCAAGACTCAAGACCTTCTGCCTGTTTGTACGGGGCACTGACTCCTGCCTTTTACATCAAACACGTCCAGAGACCCTACTTTATCGCTGGAATTCCAAAACCTGCATCAATCGACCCACATGAATATCCCAAGCCAAAGAAACCCGTGTTCAACAGATTCTCCCCCAAACCGTCTTAGCCTAAACCCCCTACGTCCGAAACCCCAAGTCCCTAAGCCTCACCCGCGCAGCCCTAAGACAAGACAGAGGCCTGAATGATTGCCTATACAATTTTGGGGTGTTCCATTATTGTAAGTATAGTATGGTATACCCCAAAACCCTATTCTAATCATTCTAAGGCCCCTACATTAAACCCTTAAGCCCTATTCTAATCGTTATAAGGCCCCTACATTAAACCCTTAAACCCTATTCTAATCATTATAAGGTCCTACATTAAACCCCCAAACCCTATTCTAATCCTTATAAGGCCCCTACAGTAAAACCCCTCGAGCACACATGGAAGAAGCTCAAAGCGTTCCTTACTCTTGGAGCAGAGCTCGAAGTAGACTCACTCGTAAACGCGAGGCCTGAGCAATCCAGCGACTCCCAAAATCCGCAGCTTGGGGAATCTTTAAATTAGTCTTGACATCATCGATGTCTTAATGATAGGATAGCGGAGTCACTGGGAACTTTTTTATGGTTCCTGCCGTGGAAAAAAACGCTCCAGGGCTCTAGGGGTTCGGGGCTAGGTTTTAGGGTTAAGGGTTTAGGGGGTAAAGGGTTTAGGGTTCAGGGTTATAAGTGTTTAGGTTTTAGGGTAGTGAGATGAGGCTTCTCGCGCAGGGTGCGGAGTGTGGATGAGGTGGAGAGTTGGAAGAACGCGGTTCAGACTTGTTTTTTTCATATCTGAGAGTTTTTCACCGATGCCCTGAGGTTCATGGGGGGTGTAGGATTCAGGAGTTGATGCTAGGCCTGTCCGCGCGTTATGTGGGTTCAAGGGTTACCTGACGCAACATCCTAGAACAACTTAATCTTATCCTGCAAGAATGAGAACGTGGATGTTCCAGGCGCGATCTCTCGCAAGCAGGCTTCAAACCTTTGACTTTACACCGGACACTAAACGACGTCCATACGAGGCTTAGTTCCATGCCTTTTTCAATCACAGCATCGTGGAGTTTCGACCTCGGCTCCTTGCAGGAACGTTTGGCGAACCACGAATGTTCGTGTGGTCCGTGGTCCCTGGCTTGAGCAGCCAGGCGAACGACGCGGTGGTGACCGCGATCGCGACCGGGACCGCGATAGCCGCACCCCAAATTTGCAGGTGCATGTTTGCTACTCTGAAGGCCTCTTTTCCGGTATTGCATGCGAACACGCCGCATTCATGATTGAGCACGCCCTCTTGAGTTTTTGGTGCATGTAGGAGCATACGTGCAAGGTGTTGTGCACAGTAGTTGCTTGTATATTCGTCAATGCATGATAGGATCATCATTGGATCCTTTCCATGCATGTTTAGTTTCGACAAAGTGTACCTACTGCCCAACCGTGGTGATAAGCTTGTTCGGAAGTAATGCGTGCACAATGATTCAAGTACCCCTCGCGGACATACTATCCAGCCCCTTCTTGCTTTTCTCCTTTTCTTTTTCGTAGAGCTGCAAGCAAACCATGTTACAGGGGTGGCAACAATGGAGAACCTGCATCAAGGTCCACGGGTGTCATAACGGACTCTGACTCAAGTCTACTTGACCCAGAGGGAGGCTAGGCTTTTGACACAACTTGACACTCTGTGGCGAACGGGAACCGAAGCTTCTTCTTGACAAACCCGCTTCTTGGACTGTGCAAGTCGTAGGTCCTAGGTGTGATGCATCAGTGCCCTTAATGTAACCTGCTCATCTTTGCTGAAGCCCCAAAGTCGCACGGCACCCAGGGGGCCGTGACGACGACCGTCGTCGGGGCGCCAAGTCGTACTGGTCGCATCACCTCGGAGCCTTGCCACCAGATTGCACGACCGCGAGTGGTGGTAGTAGTAGTAGTAGTAGTAGTAGTAGTAGTAGTAGTAGTATTAGTAGCAGCAGCAGAGTAGTCGTAGTAGTAGTAGTAGTAGCAGCAGCAGCAGAAGTAGTCGTAGTAGTAGTAGTAGTAGTAGTAGTCGTCGTAGTCGTAGTAGTAGTAGTCGTCGTCGTCGTAGTAGCAGTAGTCGTCGTCGTCGTCGTAGTAGTAGTAGTAGTAGTCGTCGTCGTAGTAG